TAGGAGTCTTAATGTGTTAATTTTGTTAAAACAGCAGGATGAGTTAAGTTTAATTCTTCGCAGTGACGAAGCTGCATCCACATTGGTTGTGAAGCGCACTGCATATGTTATGGTCTAATTAATTTCTGCACATTTATTTATTTCCTCAAGATAAACTCCCAGCTCCTCTGTTTAGACTATAATTGAATGAACACAATGTCGCATTCTCAGCTTCGGGTCAGAAAAACTTTAGTTTGGAGATCATGAAATGGTATTCAGAAAGGATTCTTTATTAATTAATTTCAGCAAAGATTTAGATGAAATCTTTGCTTAAAGTCTGTAATGTCTGCCTATGTGCACCAATCTGGGGTGTTAATTATAACCTGTAAATGACCGACGAGCTTCAAATGTTCTGGGCGCTTAAAAGCATAACCGTTCAAGTACTGAAAATATTCCGTTAACATGACCTCTGAATTGTGCTTACACATTTCAAATAATTGATCTTTAGGGAAATCAACCAAAATCTCCTCAAAGGCAAAATTGGAAAAACTGATTTTTGGTCCTTGACAAAACAAATTAAAAATCAATTAAGATGAAGAGTGGATTTGTGTGCACAAACATAAGCAGATTATGGTAACCCACTAAGTTACCAGCCTAGTAAAAAGCTGAACCCTATTCTTCATGCTTCCAGACGATGTTATGCCTGTTAAACCAGCAGGCAAGTAAGGTAACCTGTATAGACTCCTCCTGTCCCCACAAAGTTCCACAGAAGTGCAAATGGCTACTGAGAAATATGCATATTTCTATGCACTCAATTCTTGTTTGGGCCTCTTTTTGCATGAATTACTGCTTCAATATGCCATGGCACACAACACAAACGATCAGCCTGTGGATCTGTGTAGACATAATAGGTGCCCAGATTGTTTTGATTGCTGTCTTCAGCTCATCTGACCTGTTAGATCTGGTGTCTCTCATCTTCCTCTTCACCACAGCTCATATATCTTCTGTGAGGTTAAAGGTCATTGAACCAGCATTGAACCAGCATTGAACCAGCTGTTGGTACCTTAGGCAGTGTGGAGAGGTGGCAAGTTTTGCTAGAAAATACAATCAGTATCTCCATACAGCTTGTTAGCAGAGGGAGGCATTAAATGGAGTTGACGGCTGCATTGACTGTGGACTTGATAAAATCCAGTGGACCAGAACCAACAGATGACTTGGCACCACAAACCATCACTGACTGGAAACTTCACTCTGAACTTCAATCAACTTAGATTTTGTGCATTTCCACTTTTCCTCCAGACTCTCACACCTTCATTTCCAACTGAATTGCAGGATTTATTTTCATCTGAAAACAGGAATCAGGACCATTTACACAATAGTCCAGTTAATTTTCTCCTTAACTTGATTAAGAAGCCTCTGACATTGTCTCTGGTTCAGAACATTTGTAGCACATGTCTGGTATTCCTCTGTGTGTCTGGAATTGACTTTGAGTAAAAAGACAATTATGCAAAATGACATTTTTTCAAAAAAAAAATTTAAAGATGTTTTCTGGCATGCATATCTAAAATCTTGTCTTTGTGTTCTTCAATAGAAATGCCTTTCCTTTGGGCAGGAATTATAATGGTGTGGCCCCTTTTCATTCTGTCAGCGGAGTTTTTATTTCATTTTCAAAATTATTTGATACCAGGTAAGTCTCTTTCTCACATATCAATGCTAATATCTAACATGTTGAGGTTATGAGCTTATTTCGCACTACATTCACACTGCAGGTCTTAACGCTCAATTCAGATATATGCGTCTTCTACGTCATCTTCACCGTGAACTGCAAATGACCTAAAAGTTTCCTGCTTATGCAGAAGAGGGTGCAATAATGTCACACAGAGAACATGTGTTTTCTGATAATTTTGAAGTTGTTGTCTGACCAGAGCCAACACATTAACAACTTTATCCTCCATATCGTCCACCATGGTTGTTGTTTTTCTTCCTGCTTATGCTTATCATGACACAGATTAGTGACGTTTGCTGAGTATCAATTACATTCAGGTCGAATGAATTCGTCTTGAACGTTCAGACTCAGGCATCTGCAGATGAAATAAGGTTCCGCTACAACCTCTACAAAATCCCTTATTGTTCTCATCAATTCATCTCATCGCATCGTTGAAGAAGTAATCCTTTTCTGTCTGTAAACGCGTGCCTCACCATAGTTACTTGTCGTCGGGTCACTGGGACCCGATCACAAGTTCCCACACTACTGTCATGGTGTGTGGGCGGAATGGTGGTGAGGAAAATTATAAGCAATTTTTTAAAATAAAAGTCACACTGCAGCTTTAAGTAGTGAATATGTTAATATTTTCTTTGAGTATTTACAACTAGAACATTAGCCAGTTCTTTTGAGTCTCAAATTAAATTTCAAACCATTTGAAATCTTCAAAATGAGTCAACTCATAATAAACATACTCAAATTTAAGACATATAGATTAAGTGTTCTTTAACAGCTGCATGATTTGCATGTTCCTCGAATTTTTGAGGTGACCCTCAAAAATTACTGAGGGTCACCGGTGGAGGAACAGTCTTGTATCTGACCCAGAAGACGGCGGCTATCAAACCAATGTCTCAAAAAATCACGAGAGCTGTCAGCGGAGCTGGGATAAGTTCGGCGTAGGTGAGACTCACATATAAAACACTGATGAGGATCTTGTGGGTCTTATGATCAGAAACCCATTAGGAATGATGTTAAGACCCATGTTAAGATGAATAAAGGTGATTTGATAATAACAAAATCCAAAAGTCCAGGCAACACAGAGGAGCGGAGAATTAATGCTGGTGACAACTGGAGACAAGATGAACACGACGAGGACCCGACAGAAACTCAGGGACACAGGTGACACTAAATACACAGGAGGAAATGAGACTCACCTGGGGATAATCTAGGAGAGACAGGTCAACACAGTGACTTGGAGACGTAGAAAAACTCAAAATAAACACACAGAAGACTCAAACAATGACACAGACAAGCACATATCAAGATCCCCTGCAGATTGCTTATCACAATGGATTTGGAGTTGAAGATGCCATCATACACCTGCTTCAACAAACCCGCTGTCTTCTGGATAGAGCAGGCAGCACTCTGAGGGTCATGTTCTTTGATTTCTCCAATGCCTTTAACACAATTCAGCCTGATTTACTCTGAGAAACTCCAGAAGACACAGGTGGAGGCCTCAACAATCGCCTGGATCTATGACTACCTCAGAAACAGACCACAGTTTATGAGACTGAAGGATTGTATGTCTAACCAGGTGGTCAGTAACACAGGAGCACCACAGGGGACTGAACTCTCACCATTCCTTTTCACTCTACACTTTAGACTTCCATCACAAGTCCGACTTCTGTCATCTACAGAAATACTCAGATGACTCTGCAGGTGTCGGGTGAATCAGAGATGGACAAGAGGCTGAATACTGAGAGCCGCTTTGTGTCATGGTCTGGGAACAATCATCTCATCCTGAATGCAAACAAAACAAAGTAGATTGTTGATTTCAGGAGGAACAGGATTAGATCAAACCTTAGGAGAAAGACGTGACAGTTGTTGAGGAATATAAATACGTCTGTGTTCGCCTTGACAGCAAACTGGACTGGAGACGCATCAAGTGCTTATAGATCCTTCAAGATTTGCAGCAAGATGCTACTGATGTTACTGATAAGTCTGTTGTTGAGAGCTTCATCTCTTTTGCCTGCATCTGATGGGGCAGCAGCGTCAGAGCCAGAAACCTAAAAAGACTCAACAGCTTGATAAAGAAGGCTGGCTCTGTTCTGGTTCTGTTCTGGTTCTGTACTGGTTCTGTTCTGGTTTTGTACTGGCGGAACCTCTGGAAATTATCTTGCAAAGAAGGATTTTTCATAGGATCAAGAAAATTAGGGATGATCCTGACCATCATCTTCATGAGACTGTCTTGGGAAAACAGTTACTTTTGGGATCATTAAATTATTTTTGAATTTGAATTCATTTTTTGCCATTTAACAGTCAGTTCAGGTATTTGATGGAGACATAGCACTGAAAAAAAACAATACTTTGACGCAGTGACTGAGAATATTACTAACAATTTTGACCTTGTTCAAAAAGTGTTTTATTCTGATTTTTAAAGGAAATCCCAGACAGGTATTAAGTCAACTGTCAAAAATGTTGAACTTTTCAGAAAAATATACAAGGTATGTATTGGCATACATATTTAAGATCTAATTTATCTTTACGTTTTTTCATAGGAAGTTCTGCTTGGAGGAGAATTTTTCTGATGTCCCTGACCTGGTTGATTGTGCCATCTTTGTTTATTGTGCTGTCGGTGTTGGCAATCCTGTCACGGCAGGGTGTTATTTCGGTCCTTCCTGATTTATTTTTCCGTAAGTTGCTTTTATAATGTCATCAATGTGGTAACATACTGATAAATTATAGTTTGATGAAAAGTAGCAAAACATCATTATGTTAGACATTTACGTGATTGTGACCATTTCACAAAGTGAACCATGACTTGATAAGGAAAAAAGGAAGGAAGCTTCACAGATACAAAGTTGTCATTTGACAGTTATGGTTTGGATTCTCTAACAAGCTGAGTTTTAGCATCTCCATGTTTATTAACGAGATCCACATGAGGACCGAAATCTTTGTGTGAATGAGTTTGCAGTGTTCACATTTATATTAGAAAGTACTGTAAACCATCCATTTATTCAGCCTCAGCTGTGAAATAACAGATTAATAAGAAACCATGGCATCCTTTGTCCCATCCACACTTTCCAGTTTCATCTGGGTTTTTGCAATCCACTATGAATATAGTGCCTTTCAAAAGTATTCACATCCTCTTTAGGTTTTTACATTTTTTACATGCCAATTATATTATAATTACGAAAATTTGGCTTTTCTGTGATAGACCAATACAAAGTAGTACATAATCGCTAAAGTTCACCACTTCTCAACATGCCTCATCTCTATATAAGTCTGACGTAATTTTATTTTATTCCTCAGAATTTCCAACATGGGCCAGAATTTTCCTAATTCTGTCGGTTCTGCTGTTTCTCTCTATTGAAGTGGGCCTTTTGATTCATTTTCAACAACAGTTTATATCAAGTAAGTCCCTTTTACAATTATATCAATGCTAATCTCTTAATGTCCTCATGTGTTTTTGGTTTTTCCTTAAAGACTGGCCATTTCGGAAACCAAACCATTACATGGTACATAAAACTAAAGAAAACTTCTGATTTTCATGTTTTCTGAAGCCACATCAACCCCAATATATTGTTGTGGGTTGTGAGAATGTCCCTTAGCGACTGGATCAAGAAGACCTCAGGCAAAGGGAAGGTCCTGAGTGTTTATTCACCAACAATGAACATACATCAGACAACCATGATTCAAAACTATCTAAGGTCTCCGACCTCTCCCATTAACAGACCCACATAACAAACTCCTACAAAGGTAGCTGAACCATCAAAATACCAAATATTATGTGTCACTAATTACCTTTAAAGGCACATTTGATATAAATATGACATTAAACTTATATAGTGTGAAGTTTACTTCTCTAGAGACCATAATGGTCTCTTCTGGAACCTTTAAAAGATGGTTGGGTCCCTGGGGAATCTTTTAGCCTGAACACCCTGTGGAGGAAGAGAGAGAGAGGTAAGCCACATGTATGTCATCACAGTTTATTCAAACATCTTTCAATTTATTCCAAAAATTACTGCCATAATACTTTTAATTTACAAGAAAAAACCAATACTAGCTGCCTGCAAACACCCACAAAATATCTAAAGATCAATAAAATATTTCAATTTGTTTGTACTTGTAATTTTTTCATTTAACATATTCAATCCACATTTTAAGTGTTTCAAAATATAATAATGAAAACCTCCACTACATGGGTGAATGAGAATAAAAGTATGTGTACATTTGTAATGGAAACTACTGCATTATTATCTCAACCCATTTTTTCATCCTTCTTGAGTTGTGATGATGGCAGATTTAAGAGAAACCATAAAATCCATGACTCTTTAGTCCCTGCTTTTGGTTTTTCCAAGCAGAGTTGAACTAGGCCCAAAAAATGGTCCTAACAACCCATTATAATTTATACAATATTTAAAGGTACATGACATAGAGAATACATGTGAATGTTGTGTTGTTTCAGAAATTTAAATAAAGAGCAGGAGCCTACAAGGAAGAGAGTAACTGTTAAAAAATAACATGCTCTTTCTCTACTTAACAGACTTCATTCTTGGGCAAAATGGACACATTGCCACATTTCCCACCTTGAAGACAGCTTTATTTGAAAATAAAAACTATAGACTCTCTCTCTCTGACATGCACACAACGGGTCAGGGCTCAAAACTAGTATTGTACACAAATAATACATCACTCTGTAGGCTATTATTAATGTTTAAAGGCTCACTGAATAAATTAAGTCTTGTAGTAATGTCCTATTTTGAAAATTTTTACATTTTTGGGTACAAAAAAGTTTGGTCTACTATGACTTCAGACTGTGAGAAAACATTTTTATTTATTTTTTCACTTGAAACATAATGCTTTCAAACCAGTAAGCAATGTGTTTCAGGTGTAGTCCACTGGTGTTCCTCCAATTTACTCAAATATGTCTGTTAACCTATAAGGCATTTGCAAAAGGAATCCCAGAACATTTGATCCAAGTTATAAAATATAAAAAACAGTTATCCCGGATACTGACCAAATGTATGTAAACTTTTGAATTTGAAGAAAATTACAAAAAAAAAAAAAAAAAAATTTAAAAGTTCTTGCCAAGTTTTCTGGTATTTGCCAAATAGAAATAGCATTTATAGTTTTAAGTGAATTAAAACATGAAACTTTTGGACTGATTTAACTTCAGACAGTGAGAGGGGGAAAAAAGGAAAACAATCAGTGTCTGTACATTTTGAGTTTTAAACTGTGCAGAAAGTCAATGCACAGTTCATTTTCAGGCAGGAATTTGATTTCAGATGAGCACGGCATTGTTTGGTTAAATGCCATTCATGGATATTTGAGATCAATTCCTCTTTCACAAGGGTAACTTGACAAAGAAACAAAGCAGCACACAAAATGGTGGACAAGACAAATGGATAATAATAAAAAACATAAAAATATATCATGGTATTACAGTATTCCTTTCCAGCAGCCATGCAGTCACTGAATAGATGCTTAGAACAGGTAAATGTGAGGATTTGCCACAACTTTCTCCAGCTGAACAGAAACAAAGCTTAAGTTATTATCTTCGGACTTAAAGAGGAACGATCTAGAGTCAATGCACAGCTTCAGTCATTACAACTAGAAACTACAGATCAGGCTGAAATCTGGGAGTAGTGATTAACTCTTCTCTGAACTTTCAGAGCCACATAAAGACAGTCACAAAGTCGGCCTACTATCACCTGAAGAACATCTCCAGGATTAGAGGATTAATGTCTCAGGGAGATCTAGAGAAACTCATCCATGCGTTTATCTTCAGTCGTATTGATTATTGTAACAGTGTCTTTACAGTTCTGCATGAAAAAATCAATCAGAACTCTGCTGCTGATCCAGAACGCTGTTTCCTGGTGTTCTGACCAGGAAGATTTCTAGGACTACACAATTTGGAGACAGAGATGAGGCATAAAAATCTAGAACCTTCACAGACTTGCAAACACATTGAGAATTTTCAAAGCAAATCTCTGTGAGGTTTCTGTTTCCACAGATCCACCAAGACGTCCGGAGGCTGTACAGTTTAATGTGGGGCCAGAAGAAGCTGGAGTTCTGATGTAGACCCAAAGAGACGGGAAACGGTACCATGCTGTCGACTGTGGAGGTAATAGTTACACACCCTAATTTAAGTGTTTAGTGAGAGACGAGTTTTAAAATATTTTAATTCACAATAAACATGTTGAAGTGATGCTGAGCTTAACGGTGGATCCGCTGGTTTCTCTGCTGCCTTAGTAATTCACACATCATTATTTAAAGATTTAGTAAGAGACGAACTTTAAAACGTTTTGTGTTGAAACGCTAAGAGAACCAAAACACATGCAATGACGTGATCTTATTGATTAATGTTTGCTGAATGTGCAATATTGTGAGATTAATTATTGAATCAGTTTTATTTTCTTCCTGTTTGTCAAAAGGTAAACGTATCACCTTCACTGTTCATGAAGCTGCATGTCGACTCTAAAATTTAACTGGGAGGAAAAACTGTGGAAAGAAACTTCAAACAGTTCCTGAGAGAAATCTTCTGTGATGGTGTCTGGGATGAATATGAGGAAAGCTTCCCAATGAGGTTCAGAAGATGATGTTTGATTTCATACATCTGAAATATTTGAATAAAGATGTTCAGATCAGTTGCCCGAGTAACCTGGTCATGTTGGCTGAGAAACAGAAAAAGAAAGAGATTGAAACGAGGAAGGAGCTTCCTGGGATGATGGATTCATCAGAATCTCTATCACTTTCTATTCTCTGTGTTCACTTCCTGTTCTTCATTTAATTTGATTTCATTATATTACTGGATCACAGCTGAACTCCAGCCCTTAAGACAATGTTGCAATTGTTTTTGTTCTGATTAATTCAGAGAATATGTACACTTGTTTTATTGTTAATTTGTTTTTGTTCTTTTTTTGTATTAATTAAAGCAATTGTCCTATTTCTCAGAAACCAAGAAATCAATCATTTGGATTCAAATTTACAGACTGAATTAACACTAAAAGTAAATTTTGTTCTAAGTTGGGTTTTCCTGCCGCCTTTCTGTTTTGTGGTTTTGAATCTGACGTGAAAATAGATCTGAAAAAACAAAACGGATCCTCGCTTTTTTCACTTTTTTCTTTTGATGCTTATGTTTATGCTTCCTTCCATTTCCTTGTAAATTTGCTGCTGAATAAAGAAAAATTATTTTATGAATTTGCTCACATTTCCTGCAGGTAACAGCTTAAATAATTCATTTAGTCACAAGATGGGGAACTTAAAGCAGAAAATGTGGGTTGGTTTATTTTAAAAAGTACCAGATCTCAGAGGAGCAGCAGGAGGAAGAGAGTGAGGAAGAGGAAGAGAGTGAGGAAGAGGAGGAGAGTGAGGAAGATGAGGAGAATGAGGAAGGAAGAGAGTGAGGAAGAGGAGGATAGTGAGGAAGAGGAAGAGAGTGAGGAAGAGGAGGAGAGTGAGGAAGAGATTGAGGAAAGGAGGAGAGTGAGGAAGAGATTGAGGAAGAGGAGAGTGAGGAAGAGGAAGAGTGAGGAAGAGGAGGAGAATGAGGAAGAGGAAGAGAGTGAGGAAGAGGAGGATAGTGAGGAAGAGGAAGAGAGTGAGGAAGAGGAGAGTGAGGAAAGATTGAGGAAGAGGAGGAGAGTGAGGAAGAGATTGAGGAAGAGGAGGAGAGTGAGGAAGAGGAGGAAGAGGAAGAGCGTGAGGAAGAGGAGGAGAGTGAGGAAGATGAGGAGTCCTGCTGCTGAATGAACGGCTTGTTGGAGTGAAGAACAGGATCTGCTCAGAGGACTGAAGTTCTGCTGCTGCTGCTGCATCAGGTCAGACCTGCTCACCAACTTTCACCTTTAGCTGCTTTTTACCTCCAACCTCTGAGGTGGGCGGAGTCAGAGCTGCTTCATCTTCATCTTTATTGTCTGAAAACAACCTGCATGTGATCTCAGTTCTCCAGGTCAAAGGTCAGTCTGATGGACTTTCTGCTGCATGTTCTCCTGATGTTTGGTGATGAAATGAAGAGTCAGGTTCAGTTTCCTGTTTTCTTCTGGCTGCTGCAGAGAAATGTAGATGAAGGATCATCAGTCAGACTGAACTGCTGCAGCCTGTTCAGAGCTGAGATGTGATTCAGTCTCACATGATGGACAATTATCACCTGGAGACTCTTTAAATGTGTTTTATCACATTAATGTGTCTCATCCAGCTGTTTTCATCAGAACCTGAGCTGATAACCAGAACCAGATCCAAGCTGCTCACTGATCAGAGTGAGATCAGCAGCTGAAGCTGTTTAAAGTCAGACATCATGTATCAAGCAGCAGCAGCAGCTTCATCACCTGATGGTTTCCACCTGATCTCAGACTCTGAAGCTGCTCTCTGGGAATCAAACGTGTCGTTTCTGTGTGAATCTCTGAGGCTGAATGTGGGAACCAGAAACTGAGTCTCTCAGCTGTGAAGGATGTTTGTGAAACGGTCGACTGACAGGAAGGAATCTGCTCTGATGAAAACCTGCAGCATGATGGGAAGTTTTCAGGACAGAAAAGCTTCAGATCAACCTGAGGATGAACTCTCAGTGCAGCTGATGAAGGTTTTGATCTTTAATCAAGTTGTTCATCAATAAATGTTTAACTGCTCAGTTGAGGAGAGAAGACCTTGAAAAAATAAAAGCTCCTCATGATAAAACTCCAAAGAAAATTAGAGCTGCAACTAGAGATTATTTTAGAAATCAATTATCCTGGTAATATTTAAAAATTTGGCACATCCTAAAAAATTGTAATTTAATCACTGAAGCCTTTTTCATTTAATATTAGAAACACATTAGTGGATGCAAATAAATAATTCAGTTCTTTTTTTTTACAAAATAAAACATTTCAGTGTTTAAAATGCAATAGCAGCACTCCTTTAGTGAATGCTTGATTATTTATTGCATAGGAAGCATCTGCAGCTACAACAATATTTATAACTGAAACTTTCTGGTTGACTGGACATCAACACAGTTTAGGGCTGATCTGTTCACTACTTTAATAATCAGGCAGCAATTGTGATTCATGATTTATTTGATAAGATATTTAATCCAGTTGAAGCTAAAACTGTCACTAGAAGACTTCTGGCTTATTTTAAATGTAAATCACATATATTTTTGTCAGTTTTACCCTAATTTCTGCTCTCAATGTGTTATTTTAGAAAATGTTTATTTTTTTATCTGTAAGCTCCAGGTAATGATTCTTCATTTTCTAAATTTGTTGTTGATTATTTAATCACAATTAATTATGATTAATTGTGATTGATCTCTGTGAAGAAAATCCATCTCTGTTATTTATTGTCATTTTTCTCTTTATTAATATTTTCTGATCCTCTTGAAGCTTTTCAGTTTCTCTTCACACAAAGTTATAATTGTTATGATTTTAAAATCACAGCATTTCTTGCAGGTTGATGCTTTTTCCTTCACATTTATCTTGATAAGGAGAGAAACGTCCTTCACTGTTATGAAGATGCTCATATTTTCTGTACCAGGATTGAGGAGGCTTATTATTAATAATAAATAAGAATATTTTCTGCTTGAGTTTCTCTTTCTTTAAATGTCTTTTAAGTTCAGTCCAGACATTCAGTTTGTGTAACATGAATATAAAATGGATTGATACATTTCTGCACAGTTTATTAATGGACCCTGGTGGCACAACATCTGAATGTCAAAGAATTTTGTGTCATGTTGGGTTTGAGAGCGACCTCTGGTGCAACAAGTAGGGACTGCAGTTTCTTTCGCATCTTATCTTCATCTTACTTTTCAAATCTGAGAGCACAATGTAACAGAAAACTCATCTTTACCGTCCTTCATTTATTTTATGACTCAAATCTGTTTAGTTTTTTTTTTTTTATTTTAAAGAAATATAATTAGGTCACCATTAAAAAATTTTAACATGATTCACACATTTAATAGTTTGATGCAGATGTAGCAGCTGTTTGTTGGGAAACTTAGATCAAATTATTTAAATCATAACTTATTTAGCCTCTTTACAATAAAAATAAAAACATTTGCATCCATCCTGTGTTGCACAGTCAGAAACTGCACTGAGGAGTTTATTCAGTTAATGTGTTGATTCATAATGTCCAGAGCATAAATTGATTAACTTTCATTAATCATTGATCTTGAATATAGGAACCATATCAGTTTACCGCAGTTCAAAACATTTTATGGTTTAATAATTTCATGAATTATTTCAAGTTGTGTTTCTTCTGCTGTGAATTTGCCCTTAGTATAAAGAAAGATGTTCTAAGTTTAATTTGCATGTTTTGATTTTCCTGTCACTTTCCTTCTGTTCCAAAGTTTATCAATAATTTATATTCTATAGAGCTTGAATATTACAGAATATATTAAAAATGTTATTTTAAGCAGAAACATCCGGTTTCTATAAAGTATCTTCATTTCTTTGCTCTCAACAGGAAGATGAGGCTCCAGAACCAACAATGTATTTGACCTGAAGGTCGTTGTCAAAGCAACCTGGACTTCCTGAACATGTCAGCAGAACCACAGGCTCCATGATCATTGAAATATAATTTCATTTTTGATCTTTAGCTTTCTGAGAAAGATACTTTTGTGTTTTTATTATCTTTAGATCATAATCAAAATTACAAAAAAGATCTAAAATATTTCAGTCTGTTTGATGAATCTATTAGTGTTAAAAATTTTTACTTTTTCATTAAATCTTCACTTTTTTAGATGTTCATGTATATAGAGTCACATTTGAGGTTAAATATATAGAATAAATAATTTTTAAAAATATTTCAACATAGTTTAATGTGTTAACTTTTTCCTTGTGTTTTGAAGAATAAATATCAGAACATTAATAGTGGCAACGTGAAAACATGTTATTGTTTTCACACTGCATGTGTCCCACACACTGTGGGAAACACTGCACAATGTGCACACACTGCATGTTTGGACATGCAGTGTGTGCACATGCATGTGCAACAAGGACACACTGGCATTAAAAACAGGCTCAACCAACTTTTGCAGTGAGACTTTAAATATCAGAGAAAGTGAAAAGTAAACTTTTTATTAATCAAAGCTGATTTTTTTAATAGCATAAATCATCTGTAAAAATGCATTTGATGAACAATAATTACCTAAAGTCCTATATTGATGTTCAGTGTCTGTATTTTCCACATCCAGGCGTCATGAGTTTTTTATTTCCTTAGTTTAAACAGATTTTAGTCTAGAACATCAGTGTGTGTGGGTGTGTTGGACCTGCTGATCCGGTTTCTAGAATGTTTTCTATTCATTTCCAGAGAACTCACTGTGAATCAAACCAGAAACTCACCTGAGGGGAAAATGTGTTTTATAGAAACGAGTCATCAAACTGATCTTTGTCTCCTGAACTTTAACTGATTTATCTGTTAACATTCATCCTGTATGACTTTAGGAAACATGATATCGTTTCATATTCAGTGGATTTAATGTTTTTCAGTGTCCAATAAATTTTACATTTGTTCTGTTTCAAATCATATCAGTTATGGTTTGTTCATTATTATTGGTCTATAATGTCTTACCATATAGTTTAACTCATTTTATTTTACTTATTTCTTGTCTTTTATTCTCTGTAGATTCTGGTTAGACTGTCCTTTCTTTTTTAGTTTTTACTTTTTTCTCAGTATTTTAGCTCCTTGGTTTTCATTGTTCTGGTTTCTTCCATTGTGGTCGTCTCAGTTCTATGTCCTGTTTTTATGTCACTGTTATAAGTTTATTTGATTTAATTATTGTTACCTTTCAATTACATCTTGTTCTCATCTAAGCCTTCACTTATTACATATAATTGTATCTGTTAAAAGGGTGGATCATAATTAATTTTTGTCTAAAATTAAATCATCCTGTATTTTTTGGAAGGTAAACTGATTCCCATTACTGTCTGGTGGATGATTATTGTATAGTTTAAATTTAATTGGTATATTTGCTACATGAGATTCGTCTCTAGACTACAGCAGTGACTTGAGACCAAAACATTCCAACAATGGTTTCGCAAATATCTTTGTCCATCATCCCACTTAGAAAGAAATGTATATGGAAGCAAAATGTAACTAAAATAAATTCACTTTAGTTCAGTTCAAATAAGCAAATCTATACAGCACCAACAAATGTGTTACAGATATATTTTCTCTAGTTGATTTCACCATCATTTCATTCTTGTCCAGGTTTGGTTTGCTTACATTCCACAGCTCAGCTGATCCAACCCGGAACAATGAAAACTGGTTTTACTGGGAGATCTTTGATCAACAGCAGAGTGAGCTTCAGTTTGCTTTCAGTTTGTCCAGAGAAACTGTGTTGGAAAGTTATAAAGAAATCATTTAGCGAAGACTTTTATGTCGAGGAAGATGGAGCTTTTTGCTGTGTTTCTGTTCCTCTTTTGTGGTAAGATATCTTTCTTCTCTCAGAGCTCAAATTCATTCAGTCGATCTTAATTTAGAGATTTTTCCCCCTTATTTGCTGCCAGTAAAATAATTATGAAGTACAATTAATTTTAAAATATAGACCCTTGTTCTTAGTCATAACAAAACTGTGATTATTTTAAGTTTATTGTCAAGTCATTGTCAGAATCAGTATAAAATATTTAGGAAATAAAGAGTCTCTTTATGGTAAACTACATCATCCAGAGACATATAGCATCACTGCAGCATCATGTCCTTGCTGAAGCTTAATAACAAATATTATCAATGTAAAGTTTAAATCTCTACTGTAACAAGTTCTGATACAAGAGATTACACACTGCCTCCCAGTGAGCTGAACGTATCTGATCACAGTAAAAACAGAAAACTGTTTAGTGGATAATTTTACCTCAGAGAGGCATAAATGTATCTTTTTTGGTGTTTTTCTTTCCCCTCATTAATAGATAAAGCAGTGCAGGTTATGTGCAGACTAGTTATGATCACAGTTTCCTTTTATTATGATTAAACTCTGGATTAGGATTACAGATTGGTTCCGCTCATATCTGAGTGACAGATAATTTTGTGTCAATGTTGGCCATGTTTTTTGTTTTTTTTCACTTCAGCATCACTTACATGCGGGGTTCCACAGGGTTTGAATGTGGGCTCACTTTTATCTCCATTGGGTCTGTTATAAGGAAGCATGATGTTTATTTTTGTTGTTAAGCAGATGATCACCAGATTTATCTGCCCTGGACATGGATATTTGATATTTCTTCCATTCTTCCTGCTGAAGCAGAAAACTAAACTTAAACAGTCTTAACTAGATCTGACCTTGAGAAAATAGTTAATGCCTTAATTACAGCCTGATTTAATTATTGTAATGCACTTTATGGCTACTTTCACCCAGCAGGTCTTGGGTCTCAATTAAGATTTATTTATTGTTTTTTTGCTTGGCCATTCATTCGACTATTTAAATCCAACTGCAATGAGACTTTGGTGTAAATGGTTTATATTCCCAAAGCGACTCGATTGTACAGAAGAAGAAGCAATGATGGTTGGAGCCATTTAAGGATAGGTGTTAAAGTTCAGTAAATAGAGCTGACAGTTTTGTTACAAGGTCATGACACAAGAGAAGCAAATGAACATAATGTACAAATAATAGCAAAGGCCTTTTGTGGAGCATCAACTCCAATATCTGTAGGTAACTGTATGTAGTCAGAGCCAGAAGGAGTTTGATTCTGATGTGATTCACTTCAGTGACACAACATTCTTACATAATTATAAAATAATGCTTAATTAATCTTAATTACAAATAAAAGTCATTGAGGTTGGATTTTTCAGGTGTTAAAAGATTGAAATGATTTCTCTTTCATAACTGCATCTTGTTCAGATTGTTAAAGCTCGGCTCTTAACAGGAGCTCATAGGTTCGAACTTATAACAGAATATATTTTAACATCTTATTGACTTATAAATGCCCAAAGAGTTTTATACATTATTAGACTGAATAACTGGAAATGACATCAGACCTGAAGCTGTTAATAACGCTGATCTACCTGCTGTGAAGTGGAGGGAAATTATATTTGACGAAAAGTTTAATTTAAAAAATTTACATGTTGTTAGATGATTCTGTTCTCTCTGACTTTTGCATCTTCAGCTAAACATGGTAGGCCTATTATAAATATATGAAGAAATCCAGGATTATTGCAATTAATTGAAATTGATGTGTTTGAAATTGTGAAAGTGATCATCTTCTATTTTTTAAGCTTCATAACACTGAAAAATTGTTTAGAAATACAAAGAACTGGGACACAATCTGGTCAACAGTAAATTAAATATTCAATAGACTACATGTCTTTGGCTTAAATGTATTTATTTTACCAAACTAATTTAAAACTTGTCCTTTATTTGTCTTCCCAGCCTCTCAGGACTCTTTGGCTGTGACTGTGGAGGTTCAGGAGGGAGAACCGTCTGTTGTTCTGCCCTGTCAGATCAGCAAGAGATTAGAAGAGATTGTTACAGTGAAATGGAGCCGTTTTGATCTCAATCCTAACATTGTCCATCAACGGCGAGAAGCAGACGACCTACAGGCACAAAATCAGGTTTTCAGAGGAAGAACTTCAATGATACCTGAGGCTCTGGACTCTGGTGACTTCAGCCTCACTCTGACAAAGCCTCAACTTTTAGACAGCGGCGTCTACATCTGCAGCATGAGTGAGAATCAGGAGGAAACGGCTCTGTCTGGTGTTCTGCTGCATGTCAAAGGTCAGCCACATTTCACACCTCCCAGTTATTGAAACCAGTTTGTTTCCTGTTTTGTAATGTCTAATAAATAATCTTGGTTAAATATGGTCACTCAGCAACTATTGAGCTGATTTATGGTCAGGGGTTTGGAAAATAATTTTCATGAAATGAGAAACATAACCGAGTAAAAAATATGTTTTACAGAACATTTAAAGGAGAGTCATCAAACTGACTTTTGTTTCCTAAAATGTTTTATTTTTCTATAGATTTTTTTCAGTGTTCAATAGTTATTTCAATAACAGAAATCCTGTCCTGATAATCATTCTGTAGTTAATAATTCCTACAGCTGTCAATCTTCATCATCTATTAGTTAAATATCTTATCACTTTCTTATTTGTGGACTCGACTGGGAGCATGTTGGGTCATGTAGTTAAATTGGTTGGAAGAAAAGTGTCTAATATTTAAATGTATTCATTTCAACCCACTGATTTAAAACATTTATTCTCTTTATTTTCCTTCCAGCCTCTCAGGATTCTTTAAATGTGTCTCTGGATGTCCTGATAATCATTCTGTAGTTAATAATTCCTACAGCTGTCAGTCTTCATCTATTAGTTAAATATCTTATCACTTTCTTATTTGTGGACTCGACTGGGAGCATGTTGGGTCATGTAGTTAAATTGGTTGGAAGAAAAGTGTCTAATATTTAAATGTATTCATTTCAACCCACTGATTTAAAACATTTATTCTCTTTATTTTCCTTCCAGCCTCTCAGGATTCTTTAGACGTGTCTCTGGATGTTTATCAGGGGGATTCATCTGTTGTTCTGCCCTGCCTGAACAGCCAATCATCAGACGGGATTCTCACAGTGAAATGGAGTCGCTTTGACCTCAACCCCAACACTGTCCATCAACGACGAGAAGGAGACGACCTACAAGCTCAAAATGTTCTTTTCAGTGGACGAACATCAATGAGGTCTGATGCTGTAGATGTTGGTGATTTCAGCCTCACTCTGAGAGAACCTCAACTTTTAGACAGCAGCGTCTACACCTGCAGTATTCATCAGGAGACAGAAGACAAAATGCTGTCAGGCATTCAGCTGAATGTTAAAGGTGAGTTAATTTGATGTACACACAGTATGTGACTCATGTGACCTTTTCCACTCATATGAGTGGATTGAATTGACTACAGTAACAGTACCTCAATATTTAGAGAAATGTACTTTGTGTTTTGTATCAACACTTTATAACTAAATTTAATTCTTAAGATGTAACTATTTGGATAAAACATTTTATTTGTAAAACCTGACAATATATTTAAAATATGCTTTTTACTTCATTTGAACTCAAAAATTAAAATGTTCTCAGAATAGAAAAATGTCTGATCTCTAACTGGTTTTTGTTTTTCCATAGAAATGTTTCCAACTTGGGCCACAATTTTCCTGGTTCTGTTGGTTCTACTTCTTGTTTCTGGAGGCCTTTTATTTCATTTCCGACATTATTTAATGTCAGGTAAGTTCCTCTTACATCAGTATCAATACTAATGTCTAACATGGTGAGATTTTCTGAATTTTCCTGAGATTGTGACCATTTCAGACAATAATTTATGAAATGATACAGAAAGGAAGGAAGCATCAGAGCTTTCATGGTTTCAATGTCAGTTACAGTTTTGGGCTGGATTCCCTAAAATGTTGAGTTTTCAATGTTTCTATGTTCAGGAACTGAACCCACATGAAGCCGACCCAATATGGGTTAATGACAATATAATAATGTGCAAGTTTATATTGGAAAGTTCTGCAGTATTCCATCAACACATCAATTCTTGTGTTTTATGAAGATAAAGAAATCATGTCGTCCCATCAACATTCACCAGGTTCACCTGGATTTATTCAAGCCAAAAGTTACATAATAGTTACAAAAGTTTAGAGATTTTATGCAATAGAATAACACATAGGACAACATTGTCTAATGAAAAGAAATAATTGTTTTCTAAATTAAAAACTATAAACTTATGAACAATGTATCAAATAATGGTATTCAGCACCTTGGAGTTTATATTTTGTACCATCTTTCACTGATATCACGTCTGTCTGTTTTTGGAGATTTATCTCCATGAGTTTTACTGAAATCTTTCTATTCTTTGTAACAAAGCAAGAGATCAGTCTCATTGGATGAACAGAGTCTGTAATTTATGAGTCTGTGCAATAAAAACCAGGCTGAGTTTAGAACTAAATCTTGACTTGGTCATTCTGACACATGAATCTGGTTTGATCTAAACTGTCACTTTGTGCCTTCAGCTTTAGCTTTAGGGTCGTTCTGCTGGATAATGGACGTTCACTCCAGTCTCAAGTTGTTCTGAGACTCTAACAGATTTTCTTCTGAGTTCATTTCCATCCATTTTCCATCATCTCTAACCAGAAACTGTCCATGCAGGGAAAAGACTTTCTTCTTTTTTATTTCATTTTCCCAACAGACATAGACACAGGAACCTACAACTGCAATGTCAATAATTACCGGTTAAAAAAAACCCTGACGAGGAAACAGGTGCTGCCTGATGTCAAAGGTCAGTTCAGTAAATATAGATCATATTTCATAGATAATATATTTAATGATGGAGTTGGTCTTTATTCTGAGTTATTAATATGAAGGTTAAAATTAGGAAATGTTGCAGAAATATAATCTATAATAGTAAAGAAAAAGATAATTATGAAATAAACAGCAGAAATACTAATTATAATAGAAGTTCTGAAACAATATGTATTCCTGTTATGTAGAATTATATTTAGGGAGTTCCAGCATCCATCCTTTCAACCATCTATTGTTCAGACTCACATCTCCATTCAGACATTAATGTGTTGGTTTCACTCTGTAGTGGTCACCAGTTTATCATAGGGCAGGTGGACCAGCATAATCCGTGTAAAATAAATATTAAATTACTGAAATTTGATGTTTCAGTTTAGTTTTTCTATTGCAGGATTAAACTAATAAATGTAATTGTGTTTATGCTTTTATTACAGTATGAACTTTCCGTAATTTATTGTAAAAACAGTTTAACTGATCTTTATTCATATTCTAACTTTCTTTTCTCCATCCAGTTCAAACTGACTCTCTCATCATAGCCATAGACTTTGGTTCTGGATTCAGTGGCTACGCCTTCAATGTTAAACCCAGAGAGGAAGGAGGTGAAACCCAGATAAAGAGATGGAGTAATGGACTTGGACTGGACACCCCAAAGACTCCAACCTGCATCCTGTTTGATGAACATGGAGAATTTATGAAGTTTGGTTATGAAGCTATAACAGCATTTAATAATATGAGAGAAGAAGAAGCTGAGAAACATTATTTCTTTGAAAACTTCAAGAGGAGGGTCCTTTACAGAGTAAGTAAAAGTAAAGATCTGCAGATTAATTTTCTTCTTTCTTGGATCCTGTCATGTTTTCTATGAACACACCAGTTTTCTCATTTTAAAACTGAGTCATTATATTAATTATCTGACATATTTTAAATCTGAACTTTCTCCCTTCACAGTTTTTCACCTGCTGTAGACACATCTTAACACTGAGTCTCTATAATTATAATATTATCTCTTTTATTTCCAGTTGTAGTTTAGTAGCGTTTTTGCTTTTTTTGTTTTGTTTATTCTACTGGTGGCTTTTATTCAACAGTAATATGCCAAGAAGGGGAAAGACAAGCAACAAAAGTAGCGAGGACTCGTTATGTTTGTGTCGATGCCTACAGCCTGTATAGGGGGCGCCACTGCGCCAGGTGACACCATCAGTCTGATAATTCCTGAATTTTTGCACAACAGCATTTCAGAAAAAGTAGAACTTTACTTAAGGTCTCATTTCTTAAAAAAAAAAAAAAAATTCACTGGAATCATACTAAATGTGTATGTTTGCCCAAAATCCAAAAATGTCCTGTGTCTTAAAAAAGCCCAATTTATAAAACATTTGCATGCAAACCAGAAAGCTAGAGAGGAAGATCCGACCATTTTCATGGCTCTTCTGATTGATTTCTTGGTAAATTAACTCAAATAATCATTTTAAGGTTATAACTTTCACTGTTATTGGCAGCTGCTGTTAAAAAACAACAACAACAAAATTGTTAAATAAATAAATAAAGGAGGTTTTTGTGGAGGTTTTCTTACAGTTTTTTTTTTGTTTTTTTAATCGACAAGAGAATCAGTCTTTTTCCAACTTTTGTTACTTAAGCCTGACAAATCAAAGTCAGTCACCTTTTCCAACACATTGTGTGTATTTTAATTTTTTATTGCAGATATAATAGGAGGGAAGCTGGATGATAGCAGAGCATGAAGACTAGACTTCCTGAAAAGATGAGAGCGATGGCTTTCTGGAAAATCACCTTCTAATGAAAAATATGACAGATTATTGGATATAAGAAAAATCTAGTTACTCATTTTTGGTTGCTCATAGTATCACCCAAAACAAACATTGATAATTTGGAAACATTTATTCTTTACTTGTCAAAGTTAAGGATAGGAACCAAATATTTCAGCTGTTCAAAATAATCTGTTATCCCTCCATAACATGGGAACAAATTATTTTTACCAGAAAGTTTTATTCCTCTCTTTATGAACAACAAATGCTGTGAATTTGTTAACATTTGCTCGTTATTTGCTAAAGTTTATGTGGGGGACTCAAATACTTCAGCTCTTTTCCAATAGTTACATTTTATTAAAGTCTTGTAAAGAGAAATATCAGTCATATTTTTCAAAATGCAATTTATTAACAGTTGGAGAACCGAAATAAACAAGCACATCACAGCAAACTCACAGACCTAAAGTGAATCCAAAAAGAACTCAAATGTTGTTTTTCTGCTGGTGGGCAGCAGAAACAGAAAAAATATTATATGTAGAGGTAAAGTGTGTGTTTATGTAAATGTAGAGGTTTCATCAGGCATGTGAGAACGCATAATTTTGGAGCAGGAAATCTATAGATTAAGTTAAAATTGAACCATAAACCATCTGAAACAGATGAGATTAAATAAACACAGAATCCATCTCTTATTAGTTTTTCTAACCAGTAAAATCTTTTATTTCATATTTAAAACAAATAGAAACCTAAATAGAAAATTAACTGCTGTTCAGTTCATTAAAGAAATAAGTTTCTGCTTGGACTAACAGTAGTTCATCTTCAGTAGATTTGATAAACTAACCTGGTTTGAATATAAACTGACAGACTGAATTTGTTCACAGAACAACTGGAGAATCTACACAGCCAACAGGAACTGGATGTCGACCCAGAAGGTTTTTACAGAAGTTCTGAGATTCCTGAAGGACGATGCTCTGAAAACCATCAGACCTCATCCAGAAGTTGGAGGATTCACAGCTGATGACTTCTTCTGGGTTCTGACTGTTCCTGACATCTTGGAAGATTCCACTAAAGAGCTCATAATAAAATCTGCAACTCTGGTAACATCATGTCTTTAAAGACATCATCTCTGAAATGTTCAGCAGAATCAGACGTTTGGTTTCTCCTCCAGGCTGGTCTGGTAACAGACGACACTAAAGACAAACTGGTGTTTGTTTTGGATTCAGAAGCAGCTTTGACCTGGTGTTTGAACCTTCAACCTGATGGTTTCATCAAACAGAACCACAGCAGAGACTCACAGGATCAACCAGCAGAACCAGCAGAACCTGATACCAGCTGTAACGGTACTGAGTGGATCTATAACGTCTGGCTTACAAACATTTAATATTTAACAGATTTTGATTTGTTTTATAGGACAAGTCTAATATCAATGGATTCTTTAGCTGATCTGTTTGGACTAATTGTTCTGAAGCAAATCATGTAAAATATATTTTTTACATTTTTGTTGTTAATGTTTCACCACATAATTTAAACCAACCTGACAAATAATAATTTCCTCCTCAATCTAATAACTGATTATTATTAGATCTTCATCCAGAAACAATGAAGCAAAATTTCACTGAGGAGAAATTTTGCTTCACTCTTTGTTGCTGAATAATTTTAAATCAGTTTTCCAGTATTAGTTCATGTTTGATGACTCAGCATCTCAAGCAGCTTTTGAACCAATCAGAGGCAGACGTTCTGGTTTCCTTCAGGTTTTCTTGAGTCCATAAGACTAGAAATCTTGGATATTGGACTTTTTATGAATCCAGAGTTTTTGGTCTTAAACTTTCCCATGAAGGTCAGTTTTACCAATTATCTTTTTTCTTTTTCTCCTTGTTCAATTATCAGCAGCTTTTGGTTTTTCTAAAACTCAGAATGAAGCTCAGTTTTTTCTGTGGCTCATAAACTTTGACCTTTGGTCATCTGCTGTCATTTAAATTGTTACACAAATAAATTTGACATTGACATGAACTCTGACCTTAACTGAGGCAGTGAGGCCTGCAGAGCTTTAGATATTTCTGGTTTCTTCTTCTTGAGTCATTTTGGTTGGTCAGTCTCTGCTGGGAAGGTTCATCAACGTTCAGTTTTTCTCTATTTATGGATCATAACTTTCACTTTGTTCACTGATAACCTGCCATCTTAGAAATGACTGTCTAACATTATTTAATTTCACTTTGGAATCAAAAGAGTATTTTTGATTTTGAGCTTCTAACTGATGTCAATGACTTGGTTTCTCATTTGTTCTTAACTTTATTTCAAATACACCATGACATCGCCTACTTCATGTTGTTAGGCAGGTTCTGTTTATCTGATTTCTTAATTCTGATGGTTTAACCATCATAACCAAAAGATGCAGTCAATTTAAAGTTTCTACTCAAAAGTTCTTTCACTGAAATCATTTAAATATCAATCTGGTTTTTTTAATAACACAACCAGACTGTTTTTAACAACATGGTTAAATAACCAATAAAATGCTTAAATATTTTATTTGCTTAAAATACTTTCAAGTTTTTCTAATTCTCAGTGTGTTTATGTAAAATCAGCAGAGCTGTTGTTTCAGACAAACCATCATCATAACTAAACATAAACTGATCAGAATAATTGATACATCAATAAATTAGAGTCAGGCTATCTTTTAATGTGATCATGACCGCTTATTTTTTTATGACATTTTCTTTTGCTTCGCTATTTGACCATTTTCAGAGAAATTTGTCTTTATTTCTCAGTCTCTGGACTTGAAATGTACATCAGTGATCATCAATAACCTTGTTATGAAAATAATAGCTAATTGTTTTACAGACAGAAACTATTTTATCTCCAAAGAGTCTTTAGTTGAAAAACTCTAGAAGACGATCAGGATGATGGATCATTAAAGTCTAAAGACTTTCAGATTCTTCCATCTGCTGAGGACATCAAGTTATAACTTCATCTAAAAGTCAGAAAATAAATGATCAAGACTGTTAAGTGTGGGAAAAAATCTAATCTGTAGTAACAGATCAGGCTTGAGACTCTGGCAAATGGCAAAGAGCAAAAGTCTTTATTCTGTCGTTTGCAAACAGAACAGAGAACACACAGTAACCACGACACAACAGCTGTACCTACAATGAGTTCTGACGTGGAGCTGCAAACTATAACAATATATAGGACTCTCTATACAATGTGGTCACTCCCTGACCCGGAGCCAGTTGAACAGGTTTGATGCACAGTCAGTAGCCACAGGATGGACAGGATGCATCTCTTCTTACTGAAAGGTCAGTTAATTATTTAGATGATAAACATCTTCTTGTTCAAAATATGGGAGTTTCCAAAAATTAGGAAGCTAATAGAACAATTTTCCATACCAAAAACATTCTAAGACCTTGTACGTACTCTGAGCTTCGAACATTGAATGGAGAAATTTGTTAGACCTCAGGGCTTATTCCATCTTACCTAAACTGACCTAAACTGTCTGTTGTTATGTGTTAACAAACACTGGCGCCTTATTTAGTCACTGACAGCCTGCTGGATCTTTAACAAGGAGAGTTCAAAAGGAAACCTATCTAACTGATTCTGAAAAGACTCCTTGACCTGCATGTTTTAACAGACTGAACAATATTAAAGTTAAATGACTAAAGAATTAAAATAAAATTCTTAAAAGAAATAATAACACAATTTTACTTCACATTAAGATAAAAAGTTATATTTCTCAGAGGGAAAATGACAAGAAATTGCCTTCAGAAACATTTGCACGAAATTGTATATTTTTAATTTCATGTTTAAATACTTATTTCTATTTGCTCTTTATGAATGTGATATACAATAACAAAATAAATAACCTGTTTGTGAATCCATAAATTAAAGATTTAAAGTGTTAAAATTTAACCACAGGATGATCCATTAATCTTTTAACCATCAGTCTGGATTTATGGTTAAAATAAATAACAAGCATAAATTAGCAGCAGCATCTGAACTGCTGCAGCAACATCTGAACAGCTGCAGTAACATCTTAACAGCAGCAGCAGCATCTGAACTGCAGCAGCAGCATCTTAACCGCTGCAGCAGCGTCTGAACTGCTGCAGCAGCGTCTGAACTGCTGCAGCAGCGTCTGAACTGCTGCAGCAGCGTCTGAACTGCTGCAGCAGCGTCTGAACTGCAGCAGCAGCATCTTAACCGCTGCAGCAGTGTCTGAACTGCTGCAGCAGCGTCTGAACTGCTGCAGCAACATCTGAACTGCTGCAGCAGCATCTTAACAGCTGCAGCAACATCTGAACTGCTGCAGCAGCATCAAGCTCCATCTTCTCCTCCTCCTGCTGCTCTAACTTCTACCTGCAGCTCTGCAAAGCGACACGTTGTAATCAAGTCTTTCCTCCTGCTGAACGTCTGAGTTTAATAAGCTGCTGCTGCTTGGAGGAAATCCTCACTGTCAGCTCTCAGGTTTCTAAGTTTAAAGAAATAAATCAACATTCAGGTTGTTTTGTTTCAGTTACTCAGAAAGGAAAAACCTGAAAATGTTAATTGCTTCAAGTATCTCATAATGAAACTCAATTTAACCACAGACTGTGAAATTATATTTGACCAAAGCAGCAGTGGATCTGTGAACATAATGATGCAAATAATTCAGAATCATCATATGAAGTAATTAATATCCAGATAAAATAAAATGATCTATAAAATGTTTAACTACAGATTCAATAAATTAGAATATCATTTCAAAGTTAATTTATTTCAGTAAATGAGCTATGAAGTAAAAATGACAAATTTTCGAAACACAGACTGATGTTTTAAGACTTATTTCAGTAAATGATGATAATTTAGTAAAATATTTATTATATCAAATCAGACCTATAAAAACATTTTAAAATATAACTTTTGCTTAATGAAAAGTCTATTTATTATATAATTAGGGTTTTTATTATAAAAGGTTCTTTTAATCTGAAAAATAAGTCTGATCAGAACTGATTAAATATGATGATATAATTTAATGCATGAATTATGAATTTGTCTCAGGATTTTTTGTCATTTCATTTTTTTTAAATTTTCTTAAAGCATAAAAATGTAAGAAAAAAGTTTGGATAATGACATCAATATCTGTGACATCATTTCCTCTAACAATGAATTCTGACCTTCAGCATCATTTCTACTCAGATTTCTGTTAAATTCTTTCTGTTCATTTTTGTAAATATTCTCTTTCCATCTCATGATTTTCTTCTCTTTCTATGATCTGAGGTTCTGTTTTATCTCTGGATCTGGAAAATTATTCTGCAGAGATTTCAAGCATCATGACAACAGAGTCAGAGGATAAATGACCTAAAAACCTGAATCTACCTGTAAAATCATTGATCATTGATCATAGATCGGCTCAGGGAGGTTTCTGTGTTTCTACAGATCCAGCAGGAAGTCAGGAGGCTGTACAGTTTACTGTGGAACCAGAAGAAACCAAAGTTCTGCTGGAGACCCAAAGAGACGGGAAACGGTTCCTTGTTGTCGACTGTGGAGGTAAAAGTTACTCACCGTTATTTAAAGGTTTAGTGAGAGACGAGTTTTAAAAATATTTATGTTCACAATAAACATATTGAAGTGATTCATGGTGGATCAGCTGGTTTCTCTGCTGCCTTCCAGCAAGAAGGTTGTGGGTTTGAATCCCAGTCTGGGGTCTTTCTGCATGGAGTTTCCATGTTCTCCTGTTCATGTCTGGTTTCTCTCTGGGTACTCCGACTTCCTCTATAGTCCAGAAACATGACTGTTAGGTTAACTGGTCTCTATAAAGGTGTCTGTCCTGTGTGTCTCTGTGTTGTCCTGTGATGGTGACCTGTCCAGGTGAACCCCGTCTCTTGCCCAATGATCACTAGAGAGATAGGCACCAACACCCCGATAACTCTGCAGGGATCAGTGGGTTAGATAGTGAATAGATGAAGTGATTTTAGTTCTGTATTTTTTGTTAAATGTGAGTTAGAATGTTCAATAAGTTGTTCTGAGATTTATAATTTAATCTGATTTATTCTCTTTCTGTTTGTAAACAGATAAAAAAATTCACTTCACTGTTCATGACGTCCTGGAAGGAGGAGCCATGAAGAAACTGTATAACGACTCTCAGGACAATCTGGGAGGAAGATCTGTGGATAAAAACTTCAAACAGTTCCTGAGAGAAATCTTCTCCAATGAAGTCTGGCATAAATATGAGAAAAACTTCCCTCTTGAGGTTCTGAAGATGATGTTTGATTTTACTCATCTTGAACAGGTGGATGAAGATGTTCAGATCAGTTGCCCGGGTACCCTGGTCATGTTGGCTCAGAAAATCAAAGAGATTGAAGCGTTCTTTGATTCAGTGGAAGGAGCTTCCTGGAATAATGGATCCATCAGAATCAACAGAGAAAAACTGAAAACTTATTATGATGAGAGTCTGCAGGGAATCACTGAGAGCCTTGGAGAAATATTAAACAAGGATTTCAACATTGGATATATTGTGTTAGTGGGAGGCTTTGCTGAGAGCCAGATTCTCCGTCAGCACATCACTGATCAGTTTGGACCTCAGTATAAAGTCCTGTGTCCTCTGAGACCCCAGGAAGTGATTCTGAAAGGAGCCGTAGAGATGAGGAGAAACCCAAAGCTGGTGGAGTCTCAGAGAAAACGTCCAGCTTGGTTCAAATGTTTGTCATGAGATTTATTTTTATTTATTTTTTGTTCTGAATAATTAAGACAATGTGAATAGTTTTGATTCATTTTTTGGGGAGGTATGAGGGGGTTCATTGAATAACTTTTTCCATAGTGATTTTTTTTTTTTTTTTTTTGCTGTTTTGTACAAGAAATCATTTCCACAGACTTCAGTTTGTAAACTAAATTAAAGTTAATTTTGATTTAACCTGGTTCTCCTTCCTCCATTCAGTTTCCTGTTGTTTTGATTTTTTATTTTGAGTCGTTTGATTTATATTATTATTGCTGTTTACACAACCATGGCAAACTGATATTTGCTCTTTGGTTTTAGCTTCAGTTGATTAGTAAACCATCTGAAGAGGTTTAAGATGGTTTATTGTTCATGTCTAATTTTTATACAGTTGTTTGTTTATTAAAATCTCCAAGTGATATTTCTGAATAACTAGCTTTCTGATGTGTTTAATGAGTATGTAATCCTTGACCATTAAACATTATTTAAGAAAAAATAGAGATGAAAATATATGAACCACGAAGGAAAACATTGATTTATTTTTAATTCTTATTTCACTCATTTCCTGCAGGCAGCAGCTGCAATAACACATTTGATCACTAGATGGCGCACTTACATCCGAAAAGGCCTTTTTATCTTGATTTAAGTTTCGCCACATTTAATGACGTCAGAGCCGCTAGAAGTTGAGTCTGGACAGAGACCTTCATCATGGTCTGAGCTCCTCCTCTTCCTCTGTGACAGACAGAGCAGATCTCAGAGGAGCAGCAGGAGGAAGAGAGTGAGGAAGAGGAGGAGAGTGAGGAAGAGGAGGAGAGTGAGGAAGAGGAGGAGAGTGAGGATGAGGAGGAGAGTGAAGAAGAGGAAGAGAGTGAGGAAGAGAATGAGGAAGAGGAGGAGAGTGAGGAAGAGGAAGAGAGTGAGGAAGAGGAGGAGAGTGAGGAAGAGGAAGAGAGTGAGGAAGAGGAAGAGAGTGAGGAAGAGGAGGAGAGTGAGGAAGATGAGGAGTCCTGCTGCTGAATGAACGGCTTGTTGGAGTGAAGAACAGGATCTGCTCAGAGGACTGAAGTTCTGCTGCTGCTGCTGCTGCTGCTGCATCAGGTCAGACCTGCTCACCAACTTTCACCTTTAGCTGCTTTTTACCTCCAACCTCTGAGGTGGGCGGAGTCAGAGCTGCTTCATCTTCATCTTTAATGTCTGAAAACAACCTGCAGGTTATCTCAGTTCTCCAGGTCAAAGGTCAGTCTGATGGACTTTCTGCTGCATGTTTCCTGATGTTTGGTGATGAAATGAAGAGTCAGGTTCAGTTTTCCTGTTTTCTTCTGGCTGCTGCAGAGAAATGTAGATGAAGGATCATCAGTCAGACTGAACTGCTGCAGCCTGTTCAGAGCTGAGATGTGATTCAGTCTCACATGATGGACAATTATCACCTGGAGACTCTTTAGATGTGTTTGATCACATTAATGTGTCTCATCCAGCTGTTTTCATCAGAACCTGAGCTGATAACCAGAACCAGATCCAAGCTGCTCACTGATCAGAGTGAGATCAGCAGCTGAAGCTGTTTAAAGTCAGACATCATGTATCAAGCAGCAGCAGCAGCTTCATCACCTGATGGTTTCCACCTGATCTCAGACTCTGAAGCTGCTCTCTGGGAATCAAACGTGTCGTTTCTGTGTGAATCTCTGAGGCTGAATGTGGGAACCAGAAACTGAGTCTCTCAGCTGTGAAGGATGTTTGTGAAACGGTCGACTGACAGGAAGGAATCTGCTCTGATGAAAACCTGCAGCATGATGGGAAGTTTTCAGGACAGAAAAGCTTCAGATCAACCTGAGGATGAACTCTCAGTGCAGCTGATGAAGGTTTTGATCTTTAAATAGAGTTGATAATCAATAAATGTCCATCTGGTCAGTCCAGGAGAAAATAGCTTGAAAAGATTAAAGTTCCTCATAATAAATCCACAAAGAAGACTAAAGATTATTTTAGAAATCAATTATCCTGATGATATTTAAAAATATGGCACATTCTGGAAATTTGTGATTTAACAACTTGAGCCTTTTTCATTTAATATTAGAAACACATTAGTGGATGCAAATAAATAATTCAGTTCTTTTTTTAACAAAACAAAACATTTCAGTGTTTAAAATGCAATAGCAGCACTCCTTTAGTGAATGCTTGATTATTTATTGCATAGGAAGCATCTGCAGCTACAACAATATTTATAACATGAAACTTTCTGTTTGACTGAACATCAACACAGTTTAGGGCTGATCTGTTCACTACTTTAATAATCAGGCAGCAAATTGTGATTCATGATTTATTTATTTGATAAGATATTTAATCCAGTTGAAGCTAAAACTGTCACTAGAAGAGTTCTGGCTTATTTTAAATGTAAATCACATGTATTTTTATCAATTTTACTCTAATTTCTGCTCTCAATGTGTTATTTTAGAAAATGTTTATTTTTTTGTCTGTAAGCTCCAGGTAATAATTCTTCATTTTCTAAATTTGTTGTTGATTATTTAATCACAATTAATTATGATTAATTGTGATTGATCTCTGTGAAGAAAATCCATCTCTGTTATTTATTGTCATTTTTCTCTTTATCATAATTTCTGATCCTCTTGAAGCTCTTCAGTTTCTCTTCACACAAAATTATAATTGTTACGATTTTAAAATCACAGCATTCCTTGCAGGTTGATGCTTTTTCCTTAACATTTATCCTTTAGCAGTAATAAGGAGAGAATCGTCTTTCACTGTTTTGAACATGCTCACATTTTCTGTACCAGGATTGAGGAGGTTTATTATTAATAATAAATAAGAATATTTTCTGCTTGAGTTTCTCTTTCTTTAAATGTCTTTTAAGTTCAGTCCAGACATTCAATTTGTGTAACATAAATATAAAATGAAAGGATGCATTTCTGCACAGTTTATTAATGGACCCTGGTGGCATAACATCTGAATGTCAAAGAATTTTGTGTAATGTTTGGTTTGAGAGCGACATCTGGTGGCAACAAGCAGGGACTGCAGTTTCTTTCGGATCTCATCTTCATCTTACTTTTCAATTCTGAGAGCACAATGTAACAGAAAAAGAGTCAAAGCAGTTGGTCATCATGAGGAAACTATTTAATTGTTTACACACAGTTTTTTTCAATAACTTTGCTGATGAATGGGAGGTCAGAGGTCAGAGAGCTTGAACTTAATTGACTTATAATTTCTTCTAGGGTTTTATCATTAAGTAGTTGAAAATGGGTCATTTTTCCTGTATTAGTTTTGTCTGGGTTCAGCAATGGTTCTGGCTTTAGAGTTGATGTGCAGATTAATCCTCTGATTTTTTGAATTTTCTCTGAAAAGAAGCTGGAAAACTTGTTACAGGCAGCATTAGATTGGAGTTCAGGTGGTAATGTCACAGGAGGGTTTGTGAGCCTGTCAACTGTTGCAAATAAAGTTCGAGCATTGTTGACGTTTTTGTTTATGACATCTGCAAAGAAAGCCTCCCTTGCATGTTTTAGTGTTAAGTGATAGTTACGTAGTCTTTCTTTATAGATGTCATTATGAACGTGAAGTTGAGTTTTACACCATTTTCGTTCTGCTCTACGACAGAGTTGTCTTGCAGAACGAACAGTTTGTGCTTTTCTCCATGGAGATTCCTTCCTACCAGAAACAACCTTTACTTTAATTGGAGCAATGGAATCAATGATATATGAAACTTTAGACTGAAAATCATCTACCAACTGATCTACATCATTACAGCTTAAGGATGAGGAGGAAGAGTAGATTTGATTAAATGTTTCTGCTGTGTTTTCTGTGAAAGAACGTTTTGTGACAGTAGCTGTTTGTCCAAGTGGGTCAAAGAATAAAGAACCTTCAAAGATAACAGCTAAGTGATCCGACATGGCGACATCAGTTACATCGACATTGGAAATATTCACACCCTTACTGATAACCAGGTCCAGTGTGTGTCCTTGAGTGTGTGTTGCTTGTTTGACATGTTGTGTTAAACCAAAATTTTCTAAAATATCAGAGAGCTTTTTTGCTCCTCTGTCTTCGGGTTTGTCCACATGAATGTTGAAATCACCAACAATTATTAAACAATCATAATTAATGCATATGAGAGAAAGAAGATCATTCAAGTCAGTAAAGAAATTTTCCACGTATGTTGGAGTTTTGTATAAAGTTAGTGTCAAAGTTCGTTTGAAGCCTTTAACCTGAATTCCAAGATACTCAAAAGATGTGAAATGACCGAAAGAGATTTTACTACAGTTTATGGTATTTTTAAATATAGAAGCCACGCCTCCTCCTTTTTTATGTTTTCTATTCTCACTTAAAAAATTGTAGTTAGGAGGCGCTGATTCAATGAGTACAATTTGGTCATTATCGTCATTCAACCATGTTTCTGTCAGAAACATAACATCAACATTATACTCAGTGATAAAATCATTAATTAACAGAGCTTTAGCACAGAGTGATCTGATATTTAAAAGAGCTACTTTAAGTGGCTTGGAGGCCAAAAGATTTTCAGTCTGAGGTTTGAATTAGGACAGCTGTATTTCATATTTCTGGTTTTTGTAAATTTTCTTGTAGTGATCCGGACAGGTAATGTCCTGTTCTGCAGAACCCGGGGGCCAGACACATTCTGGATGGAGACGGGTGTAAAGATAATATCTGGTCCCCGGCCTCAGACCTCAGAAACGCAGAGTGATGGATCCTCTGGAAAGTCAGGGGCAGGTTGCTTAAATTACATCAACCCTGAAGCTATTCTACAGTAAAGGTCTTTAAATATAGGAAAAGGCCACATCAATCAAGTGTACTGTAAATCAGAATTGATTTTGTTTTGGAGTGTCTGTAAAAATACTTCTAAATGAGTAACAATATCAAAATGAACTTTTCTGTGGGTATGTGTGGAGCTTGTATATTATAGAAAAAGTGTCATCCTGTGAACAAATGTTTTCCTGTTTACTATGTCTGAGAATGAAAAATTCCAACTACTTTCTGCAAGCCACTTTATAAGACCACTGAGTGCAACCAGGAAGGATGTCAATCATTAAAAGCACATTTTAAAGGTAGAGGAAGATCAGATAACATTTGGCTTCTATACAGACTGAGACAGGAGGGTGAAACGAGACAAGTTAGGACATATTTCCCACACCAGATTGGGGTTCAGTGGAAAGTAACAACACACAGATCTGGAATGTGTAGGTGGGACTGAACTATGTAAAAAATCTGATTGGGTCACTGTTCACTGTTTGTGTCAGAATGAAGCAAGAGCTAATTATGTTTTAACTTGTTCTCTCCAGTTGCCAAGAAATGAAACAAACACCCTGAAGATTTGCTCCAGCGTCTTCACTTAATTAAATACTGAAGTCCAACTTTCAAAAACAGAATATAAAATCAAGACAGGTTGAATTTTCTTCTGTTTAGTTTCACCTCCTTCCTGACAATCTGAGAGAATCTGAGTTTAGATATATTAAAATCAAACTTAAGATTCAGCTCTTCAGTTCATTTAATTAAAGTTTAGTTTTAAAGAATTAAACTAATTTAAATTATTTCAACTAAATAGGAAAAAAGAAATAGTTTAGACTCCTTAATTTTTGCTGTTCTCTTTGTCTCCTGTGATAAATAACATTCATCTCCTTTTCTGAACCAGAATCAGAATAGCTTTATTTTCCCAGATTGTGTGCACAAACAAGAAATCCAACTTAAATTTTAAGGATTACAGTGTCGAGACACAGGTATTATAGAGTAATTAAAATAAGGATAAATGCACAATATGTATTTGCTGTAGTTTTTTTCTTTTTCATAATTAAAAATCCTTTCACTCCCGGTATAACTCCCAAACTCTCTCTGAACTGTTTTCCAAATACAAGCTCTGAAAACAGGACCTTTATGTTTTCTATGTAGAAAGTTAAGTGCAGACACACTTAACTTTGAGCAAGGTGAAGGTTTAGAAAAAAAAATTCTGAATTCATAGAACCAGTATAAGAACAGAACCTGGACCATGGTCAGAGTAATGGGAAAAACTAGTTAATAATTAAAACCAGTAAGCAGACTAAGAGGAGAGTGGAGAATGTCACTGAATGTACGTAATTTTAATCAGGTAATTAAAAATGTCTCTAAAAGAAAGCCAGCAAACAGGCTGAGGGAAGATTAATTATTAACCCACGGGAAGCTTTAAACTCTAAACCAAAAGGAGAACATTAACACCAATCTAAATAAGCTAAATCTAAATGCATAAAGAACAAAATACAAGAATGAACTAAGAAACCAAACACAAAGGAATGAACTAATATAGCAACACCTTGTAGAAAATAACTGCATTGCAGAGAACCACAAAAGGGCCGCTCACTAATGGCTGCTACCCTCAAGAGCTTAGAGGGCAAAGAGGGCAGAAAAAAACAAAATAAACAACAGACTTTAGATGGACAACAGTGACAATTTCACATATGTTTATTCTGAGAATATTATTTTTGACATATTTTTGACACTGTTTTCCCTTATTGAAAGAAAGATTGTACATATTTAAGAATTAAGAATTTTCCACAGCCTCATCGAGTTTGCAATGAAGGCTCTCAGAATCCTGTTGATGTTATACATCTCTAGGCATTCAATGATCCAAGTATGCGGCATTGAGTCATAGGCTTTCTTGTAATCAATCCAAGCCATGCACAGGTTGGTGTCGGGTTTTGCAGTCTCGGGCAACTGTGCGGTCTATGAGGAGTTGGTGTTTGGCTCCACTGCTATTTACACCGATACCCTTCTGTGCCGTGCTCATGTGTTTATCCATGTGTTTGGCCAAGGCTTGGAGCCTCTGTTTGGCAGTCTCGAGTGCTTCAGGTATGGGCATCTGCCTGTACTTTCTGGGTACTGGTCTTTTCATTGCACCCTTGTGGAGCTCTGACAGTTGGCTCACTTCCCTCCTTGTTACCTTGATTTTAGCCTCTAACCGTCTTTTCCATGGTGGGTATTGGGTCTCATGGTTGCTCTTATAGCCAAGTATCTCAAGAATCACTGATGCTGAGTTGTAGATCAGCTCATTGGTTTCTGTTATGGTGTTGGTAGGGATCGTTCTCAATGCTGCATTCACATTCTCAATGAGACTTTCTGATGGTACTTCACTCAGCCGTTGTAATTGGCGCCGGGGAGGCCTGGTTGTCATTCGGGTCATGATTCTCTCTCTCAGGTCAGCAGCTGTCTCGTTCAGCTCTGTTTCGCTCATTGGGGCCGTGTATCCCCTCACTGGGTGGGGACTTGTAGTTAAGTCCCCACAGTCCTGACATCCGGGTTCCTCCCTTTTGCCGTAGCATTTGTGTTGTATCTCGTCAATCTCAAGTTGTGATAGCAGTTGCCGTTTGCGGATGTTGGAACACTGAGCTACTAGTTGTTTAGCGCTTAGTGTTGACTGGGGATGTCGAAGTAACCATTCCTTCCCCAGTCTTTGCATGTAACCCCTCTCTCTCACTAGGGTTACTTGAGTAGTAGCATTCCAACAGATCCACATTTTCATCTCTCGCCCATTTCCGTCTTGTTCCAGTAGCCCATTTGTCATCAAGGTTTGAGTTTATTTTGTATTGACTTGTTTGGACACTTTGTAATTTAATTTACATTTAATATTCTCCAATTTGTAAGTTCTCGTCTTTTGGAAAGGGGAGGAGAGTTGTATTAATTTAAGTGAATTGTATTGTGTTCTGGTTTTGTGAAACCTTCTTTTTGTAATAAATAATTTTTAAATCATATCACTTATTTTCTCTGGACACATTTTATGTTACCACAAATAAAGCCCTACACCTTGGGGGTGTAACAAATGTATTCTGGTATAATAAGGTCTGTATTTGATTATGGCAGTAAAGCTTTTGGATCAGCATCAGCAACACTACTCAAAAAAAAAATAGACAATATTCAGTATCAAACATTGAGGTTATGTACAGCTTTTTTAAATATTAAAAGCATTCATCTCTGATATCCAAAAAATGTATTATGGTTAAGTTAAAATTTATTTAGTTTCAGTCCTCATTACAGTAGATGTTAACTAATAATAATTTACCACTACAATATATAAAATAAACATTTAAAAACAAAAATCATTGATCAAAGTGTAATGCATTTAATATTTTTTCTGATGCCACCATATTAACAGCTGGTTTTATGATGTTCCAGTCAGATAATGTACTCTAACTTTCATTAACATGTTTTTCAGACTAATTTTCCCAAGAGTAAAAAACAAAATCAACCCTGCAGCATTTCTGCAGTGGACTTTTAAATATCAGAAAATGTCAACTCTGTTAATTTAACTGTGGATGATTTTTTTCTTTTTTTTTTTAAAGCAGAACTCATCTGCAAAAAGCTAACCAGAAACTTACCTGATGGTAAAATGATCTTTGTCTCCTAAACTTTAACTGGTTCATGTGTAGAAAACATTCAGTCTGTAGGACTTTAGGAAATAAGTTGAGCCCCCAAATATTTTAGCCATGTTAATAAATATTCAGTGGCTTCGATGACTTTCATTGTCCATTATTTATTCTCTGGTATTTTTTCTATTATTATCTGCTGGTGCTTGTTTTTTATTTGTTTCCTCACTGTAATTAACCTCACTTCATTACAGATTCATCTGTTCTGTTAAAATTAGATCCATGATTTATTTCAGTTTTTAATAAATCATCCTGTAATGGCCAGATATACTAAATCATGTGATCTGCATCATTATCAATTAGTTATATATTGAACCAGTTTGTAGATTATTAGCTAAATTGTGATTATTTTATTATAATCCACTCCAGACTAAAACTCAGCTGTGACTTGAGACAAATGTTGTTAACAGGTGAAGATAAATGTTTGTAAATATCTGCATTCTTTATCCCACATAGGATGAAATGTACATGGATACAGGAGCTGTAAGAAATTAAATTCAGTTCAAATCAGTCTGTCTACAAAGCACCAGTATCTAAACTAGATTATCACTGGTTGATTTAAGTATCATTTACTCTGTCATTCTTGACCAAACTTGTTTTGTTCATGTTCCAACATCTATTCTGATCCAACCTGGAACAATGAAAACTGGTTTTACTGGTCGACCGTGGATCAAAAGCAGAGAAAACTTTCAGTTTGTCGTCAGAAACGGTTTCAGAGTGTTAGGAAGAAATCACTTTGCAAAGACTTGATGTTTTTATATTTAAGAAGATGAAGCTTTTTGCTGTATTTTTGATACTTCTTTACGGTAAGATCTTCTTCCTCACTAAACATAAGTTTATTCAGCTGGGGTTGGTTTTTCCCTCTTCAGTCAGCAAAGTAGCTACCAGGAACTGCCTGGGATCACACACTCGGTAGGAAGAGTAACACATATCCACCTTAAATTACTGATGCAAAGTCTAAATCTTGTTGGGTTAAAAACAACCATGTAGTCAATCTTCAGTCAAAAACAGCAGAGAAAAAGTTAAATGTATTCAGCTTGATGGTGACATAATGTGAATTATCTGTTTATCCTGCTCAATGTTCATTAAACAGGATGAAAATGAAATGCATTATCAATTTGAAAACTGATGGTAAAAATAGACTAACAGGATTTTATTTGACACTATTAGCCAAAATGATCTCTGCTCCATGCAACTGACATTCCCCCCATGAGCAAAGACAATATTTATGAGCTAAATCTTGCAGACTAATAAGGTGTTGAAGACTCATTTGATTATTTGATGCTTTGATAGATTTATGTTAATTGTTTTATTTTTAAGCATGCCTCATATTTCTATCTTGTTCTTTAACCCTCTCTGTATTCTTTGACCATAGGAGAATATGCTGATGGGAAAGAAACAGTTGTGCTTCCATGCCGCTATTCAGGTGCTATACCAGAGGTAAACCCCTCAGTTATCTGGAGCCGCAATGATCTCAATCCACAAACTATCCATCTGCGGGGAGAAAAAGACGACGATCTTCGTGGACAAAATCAAGACTTTGTTGGACGAACATCAATGAAATCTGATGCTTTAGACTCTGGTGACTTCAGCCTCACGCTGAGTAAACCTCGTTTCTCTGACCATGGTATTTACACCTGCAGCATCAGTGATGACAGAGAGAAATTAAAACTGACAGATGTTCAACTGGAGGTCAAAGGTCAGTAACTAATTTTGGTAGAAATTTCCACAGTGTAAACTTGCTCTTATTGACTTATCCACAGACAACAAAACATTAGGAAATATATCGAAAATAGTTATTAAACTGTGGTAGAGAGCGCTCCATTAAAATCATTCCTGCCTGCAGCCCAACTCTGAGTTTCTAAGAGGGTTTAGGTTGCTGTATTTTCATGTGCATTTTACTTATTACATATTTAGTCATATTTAAATTAATTAGAATATCATTCTTGTGTATGTATTTTTTTGTAAATTAAACATTAGCTACATATTTTTACTCTTTTCAGAAAAAAAATACTTATTTCATGATGTCAGCTCTGCTGTGGATACCATAGATAATGTGTGAACATTTTTTCCAGCTGACTGAATTATTCTATTTTATTACATAAATAGTTTTAATATTCCAATACTTCAGACTGAGATATTCCACTTAAAAATATAATACGAAAACAGAGATTCTGAAGTAAAAGTCACATAATGGTCTATTTCATACTCCTCCTTTTGCACTGAAACAACCCAAGTTTCAAATTATTGTCTGGTTCCCTGACAATGTTTTTTGAACAACAGAATAAAATAACTCCTCAAGAGTAAAACTTGTCATATCCCTGTAACTATCAGTATGAATTATACTCATGTAAAATTGACTCAGAACAACAGGAAGAAGTAACAGTGCAGGAGGGAGAAGAGTCTGCAGTTCTGCCCTGTAAAACAACAGCTCATCTGGAGGAAGACGACACTGTGGAGTGGACCCGATCTGAACCAGAATTCATGATTCTCCATGTGTATCAGAATGGCAGCAACAAAGCTAAAGAACAAGACCAGTTTTCCTTTGATCGTACAAGAATGAATAAAGAGAAAGTAAAACATGGAGACCTCAGTCTGACCCTCATAAACCCCAAAGAGAGAGATAGTGGAGTCTACATCTGCACCATCTACAGGAAAAGTGACATCATCAGACAGAAAGTGATTCTTCGTTTTGTCAAAGGTCAGTGGTGCAGATACACATCACAAGGGTAAAAATTTCTGATCCATTTCACCTGGTTGGATGATTCAGGAGGTACTTGGAAAGACTTTCTATGAACTGGGAGTTCGGTTTTTTTCATCCTAGCATTTTTCTAACAAGACATAATAGAAATGATCCAGTCTTTTCAAGGCTCCGATATTTATTTTATGTTTAACTCAAGTGAAGACAGTCATGCACAGTCTGCACTGTGTTTTATTGTTAAACAAAGACAAGACATGAGAAAAGCATTGTGTTAAAAATCAAATCTCTATGATGCAAACGCAGAACCGGCTAAAGCTGCAATGACTCTCTGCAGTTGTTGTCCACTTGCATGGCTGGGGAGGGATTTTGATCTAAAGACTCATTTTGTTGACCTTCACTGAGGACTCACCAAAGCATTTCAGATACTTTAAGCACTTGAGTTTGACTGGATATTACAACACTTTGATTCTTTTACAACCATTTTGTGTTTAATTTTTAATTTACTGCAAAAGTATGCTAGAGATCATTGTTGTGTTGATTACCCAGGATAGTTTTGTGATCTCTTCTTCCTCATCAAATAATGTTGCTTTTTGTTGTCTTCTTTTAGAAAAGAGAGGTTTTCTTATTTGGTGTTTCCACTGACATTTTTTGCTTTAATAGCTTATATACACATATGAAATCAAATTATGTTATCCTGCAGACACACACACGGTATATATCTAAAAGTCATAACCAATGAATTCAATGTTTCATGACTTCCTTGGCTGCAGGGATAAAATCCAGCAAGTAGACATTCAGGTTACAACAAACATTAGTGAATGGGTCACTCTCAGAAGTTTAGTGAATTCTAAAGTGGCATTATGACATGATCCAATTCAGGTTCAATTCATGCCAAATCACAACAAATTTTGTCTTCTGTTTGTGAGTGTGTTTTGTTTTGTTTGGTTGTTTTTGTTTTTGTTTTTTTTTTCACAAAAAAAATAATTTAAAATCAATCATACATACAATCCAATTAATTTTAGAAATCAAACAGTGCCTTAAGTTCAGCTTATTATTTAATTTAGTTGTTATGGATAAAATCTAGTCTTTTGCGATACTGCATTGCCTCGCAAAACATTTGCGTTCTCTCGCAATAAAGTATTAAGATCTTCATAAGGTTTTTCCCTGTGTTTTAAGAACTTGTTTGAGATATCTGAAGTTTTATACATTTTTCTTTAGGATAGAAATGCACAAACCTTTTTGTGCATTGTGGATGCACAATTGCAAAACAGACCATATTTGGTCTTTTAATCTCTTTCCATCCTTTCTAAGACATAAAGAGCATCTTTCCATTAGAAGGAATGAAATAAAAAAATACATCCAAACTATTTGGACTTTTTTTGAGTTATTATAAAGTCATCTGATAGTTTTGATTGCGTTATGTGTTGATCTGAATGATTAATAAAGGGCCGTTTTCATGTCCAGTTACATCTCAAACTTACAAAAATAAACATGAACATGCAGTGAATAAATCCATTTTCAATCAGTTTTTTGCACCAAAGACTTAAGAATATATATAAAAGCACATTTTCACTGAGGCTCTGAATATATTTAAAATTTTAAATTTGTGACTCAACAAAATAAATCAAAGTGTATTCCCTTTATTTACTTATTGCGAGGGAATGCAATATGTTTGCAAGGTAACGCAAAAATATTGTGAGGTAATACAAAAGTATGGCGAGGTAATGTAAAAGAACAAAGTCCCCCATGTTCCATAGGATGATTTACTATTCTCCACTCTTGATGGTTTAGGCTTCAGATTTTATTTTATGTCTTCCTGAGAGCGTGAACATAAAGGGGTTCAATTAATGGACACCAGCCTAATCATACAGGGTTAAGCTGGTTGTATTCATCCATTAAAGATGTTTTCTGAATGTGTTGAGAATCAGTTTTCACTTTACGATACACTGGTTTGCAGAAGTCTGGTCTAAAGTCATATGTCTTAGGATCAAGTCAGACTGGAGTCACAAATTTTTAAGACTATAGAATTGATGATATCCACACCAAAATCTCCTGGCTGCATTTTGACTTGAACCCTGATATCTTACAACAAGCAGGTTTGTTAAAATGAAAACTTAGCTAATGCACAACAATTTTTACCAGTATATCCTCATCCTGTCTCTACAACATGCATGCTGCATCCTTAGGTTTGATGCATCACAAATGTGGGTTATAGGTCAGTGACTCTACTAAAAGTTATAAGATACAGATTGCCAGTTACAATAAAATACATTGTTGTTCAGATCATCTTCACTATTTTGAGTGGTCACTTATACATTTTTTTCATCAATTAAATATTTATTAATTTGCAACTTGTTTCTAGCAACTCCTCATTATTCCCAAATCTAACAGAATTTACAATGATTTTACAGTTTTTGTTTGTAAAATCAGTGTGTTGAAAACTTAAATAAGTGTTGCCCAAAGTCTGTCCAGGAGGACCAGCAGCCTGCATGGTTTAGTTCTCTTCCTGGTTTAACACACCTGCATCAAATGATGGCTCATTAGAGGCCTAAGAAGAACATTTCTGAGGAAGATATTACTATCACTAAAGAGAGAGCTAAAACTTAATTTGAGAGGTAGCAATATCTAATTTCCATACAGAACTTAAAGGTGCAGGATGTAAAGTTTAATTAAAAACAAAAAGTGATTTTTTTTATATATATATATATTATTGAAACTGTCACCATGTCATGACAGTTTCAGATCATCATCTGAAAAAAGACCATGCTCCTTCACCCCAGTGATATTTTGTCTGCACAAGTACACGACTCAGTCATAAACAACCAATCAGAGCCAGAAGAAAGGTCTTAACTATCAATCAGCTCATGAATGTGCTGATTAATCTGCTATCGGTGGAGGAACAACTTACAGGAAAACTGTTTAACCATTGTTGTCGATAGCCATGCTAACTAGCCTGAACATTCATGGCAAGTTGTGCTATTAGGAGAAAGTTGGAGCATTTCCCAGGGCAATGGGGAGGGTGTGAGCAGCATATACATGAGCTTGATTGACGGCAGTAAAACCCTCCAACTGGCTCTGATTGGTTGTGTCTGACTTAGTGGTGCATTTGTGCAGTTAGCACTGGGAACACTGGGAGAAAGCAGAGGAGCTCGAACCTTTCATAGATTATCTGGCCCTTTTCTGTCATTACATGGTGACTGCTTCAACAAATGGGTGAAAAATCTTTTTTCATAAAAGTTACATACTACAGCCTTAAACTTTCACAAAGAAGATTTGGCTCACCACTTTTGTCGCTCAGCCTTTAAAGTCAAAGTTTCAAACTCCAATTTTGTAGTGATTAAAGAAAACAAAATGTCTTTTAAATAATCAGAATGTTAAAGTGACATGTTTCAGTTCCCTGATTCAAAATTATTGATTTTTCTCTCACTTTCATGTTTGCAGATCCAGTTTCTGAGCTTTGAGCCTTAATCAACAAAATTGGTGCATCCAAACTGACAGACAGTATAATCATAATCATGTCTTATATTATTCTTGGTTAATGACTTTCATAATATTAGAATTTAATTATAATTCTGGTCATAACCTATGGTTATAACATGACCCAGAGAAACAATAACATACAACTACAATAAAACGGTAAAGTTCTTGTAACAGTGAAAAACAAAAGATAAACTGTGGGAGAGAAACAGAACAGAAGTTTATGCCAAATCAAACAAACAATGAAAATAAAACAGATTCTAACTGTAGTATGACGGCAATAAAAGAACAACTGTTTCCATATTTAACAAAAAGAGTCACCAAATTCTGCATCCAATCAGAACTCAAAATCCCAAATTAACTCCAGCCTGCATCCTGAATTTGAGAAGAAGAAGAAAACAACAAGATATAAAACACAAACTGACTGGCAGACATGTAACTTGTTTTGGATTTCAAGTTAGTTAAAAGATTAAAGATTAAATGTCTTGACATCAAACCCGACCTGAAACTAACATGCCTTTCCTTGAGACTTGAATGGAAACAATTCAGACATAATTGTGACTTTGAAATTTGTCAAATCTTTTATATTTTGTGAAACTTTTAGTGAAACAACTTACTGATTTTAAATACATGAGAACAGCTATGCATAACAGATTTTTCTTTGCAGATTATTCTTATTTAAAGTAAACACAACAAATCTTTATCTTAAAACAAAGCTTTACTGTCAGTAAGCAGACTTTTAAATAATCAAAGGTTGCTTTGATTAAAGGTTACTTTCTGAGTGTTTTGTCCTGAAAAGCTGATCAATCAGACAATTGAGATTATTGGCTCAAAACAATTCTTACTCCAATAATTATATATGAGTAATCTATCCATAAGAAAGCCATCGGGTCTATAAAGATTTTTTTTTAGTCAGTGGTTCAGTTAAAAGGTAAAAGATTTATCAGGTAAAAGATTTTATAATTTGTGGCTTGAAGAAACTGCTATGAAATTTCTTTTGCTGTGACTGTAACAGTTCAAAGAAATATTTACATTTTTCAGACATGAATACCTTTATGTGTGTTTTTGTTTGGGGTTATATAGTTACCTGATGTATTGATGCTGCCAGTTTTGTACATTTTATGATTTATTTCTTTGGTCTTTTCTTGCTAGATGACAAAGTGACATTTCCATCTACATTCATAGTCAAAATCTATTTTATTGTCAATTAATCATATGTACTATACATATAAAGAATGAAGATTACGTTTCTCATCATCCCTTTGGTGGAGCTAAAAACTCAGCTATCATATAACAATAAATAAAAATAAATGGCAGTAAAAGATTTCATAACCACTTTAAAAATATAAAGTTGGAATTGTATTATAAAAATATAACTTATATGTCTAAACATTTTGTGTTATGAGGATAGATAAAGCAATCATTGCACTCCTCTTCTCCCAGGTTCATCTGGTTTTTCCAAGTCAAAACTTTATAACTTTATAACTGAATTGAGTTTTTGAAATGTAACTATTTGGCCAAAACATTTTGTTTGTTAAACCTGACAATATATTTAAAAGATGCTTTTCACTTCAT